TATAATTTTATATTTTACTTTCCAATTTTCTTCAATAGAATGACAAGTTTTCTTCTACCATTAACAATTATTTTTCTCTAGTTATAGTGAATTAATGATAATTTTTGTTGCAAGATGTAGGAAATCACTAATTTCTCACAAGTAAAATAGCTTTTATTTTTGAGAATTTTATGTTTATTTGACATGGTTATCGTGAAACAACTTGATTTTTAGATATTTGAGTCATAGTCCCTCAACTAAAGGCTGCACCATAAGATTAGCTAGGAATTAATATACTAATTTTTTAAAACATCTTAGTTTTATTATTGTCTGGAACATATATATTTGTATTTTGTCAATAATTGAAATTTGGATACATACAAGAGCATAATTTTAGGTTGTCTATATATATTACATGTAATTTTAGTTTAATATGATTCTTAATCTCATTCAAAGTCTCAATTCTCATAAAATTCATTTTCAATATACATGTCTAAATAGTGGTTCACCACATTGAAATCAATTTCTAGCTGCACCCCTAATCTAAATGTTTAACTGAGCTTACACAATTCACCTAGATATTTAGATAAAATAACTTAATTAATTAAGGCTCTATTTAGTATAGTTATGGTTTTGAGTTCTTTATTTTAATTTTAAAAAAATTTCGAAATTCTAGAATAAAATTAAAAATTTCTATAAATTAATTAAGTTTAAAGTTCTAGGTATTTGTTTTAAAATTTTATACCCAATAAGTTGGCAATTTTAATTTTTAGTTTTGGTTTTTAATTTTTAATTTTGATTGTTTGAATTTTAAAAACCAAAACCAAAAACTCAAAACCACAATTATACTAAACAAAGTCTAACTTATCCAGAGGTTGTTCTTTTTCTCGTACCCAATTTCTTCATCATTTTTCGCTCTACATAGTTTTTGTTGTCTTTTTTCTTCTTTTCCAGAGAGAAGCTCTCTCTTTTTGTATGTAGGACATGACTTTTCTACATTCATAGGATGTTCAAAAATCAAAATAAAACCTAGAGAGTTCTTTCACTTGATGAAATTCCATAGAAGTCAAATGGAGAACAGAATTTATTCTTCTATCTCTCCTTAGCTACGTTAGCCTTAGTCAGTGGCTCTGCCCACCATTACCAAACACCCCAAGGTAAAACCCTTTCTCCCCACAAAGAGTTTGCTGTACTAAAAGGGCTATCTGTCAACTGTCATCACCCAAAGGCGCTTATTCATTCAACCATCAAAAGTTAAATTAAAAAGAGATGAACCTCTTTTAAATTGTGTGAGTTGCCAAATACACAGACAAAAACAATACAAAAAGAAAGACTTACAAGAATATCTGACAGCGTCTGCACTAGTGCATTTTGCTTCTTATACTCATGCTTCAACCGGTCAAGATCATTTTTAAGTTGATCTATCTCCTTTGCCTGAGATTGCAGAACTTTGTTCATGTGTGTGTTCTCACTTTTTAAGTTTCCATTCTCATTCTTTAATTGCACGTTTTCTGAAGTAAGTGTCTCCATGTTATATTCCATTTCTATCTTGCCTTTCTGCAGAATAGGGAATACAATCAAAGAAGAAACCTAAATATGGGTGAGAACATAAACTAAAGAAAACAAATAAACCAGTAGAGGGCATTTCTTCACCTTCAACCGTTCCCGATAAGCCTTATCCTTTAATCTTTTCCTTTCTACTGTGTACTGAGATGTATCTGAAGATGTTAACGGTTTCATTTGATCCGATGAGAATATCTTCGATTCATCATAGATCACATCGTTGAATGCAGCGTTACTTTGGTTTGGTATTGAAGTCTTTGTTGCTTGTGAACCAAAAGCCCCTAATTGTCCCATTGAAGTAGAAACCTCTCTGCTATGAGCATGTGCAATATACTCTGAACTTTGCTTATCCTCTTGATCGAAAGGAGTGTAATTGAGAACATTCAAAATATCAACTGCATAAAGTTTAAATCTTTAACTTGTAACATATTAATCTAGCTGAAATTAAGGTTTAGAGATTTTGTTTTCCACACTCCACTACAGCACTACCAACGCCATCTATCCCTCCTATGTGTATATCACCAACCAAAACAAAAAAGCAATTTTCACAAAAATTTAACAAGGGCCAAAAAAAAAAAAAAAACTGCTCATGCCTTTAAAATTCCAACTATCCATAAAAAATGCCCACAAATCACAACAAACTGTGTTTCAAAACCAGAGATTATTTTCTTTCCCGCTTTCTGGTGTCATCCTATGAATCCTGGTAACAGAGGCCTAGTTTCAAACCTAATTTCCCAATACAGGAAACAAAGTCGAGAAATACAAATTAATCAATATAGGCAATACACTTTGAACATATGAATGCATAAAATTCATTCTACCATAAGATTAAACTTCTGTGATCAGATGGGTCAAAATCTTTCTTGAAAAAGAAAAGAGGGACTTGATTTTGGGAACAGAAAAATTCAAGTCGATCGACCACAAAAATTTTCCCTTGATGGAAAATATATACTTACAAACGTCTGTAGTTTGTCCATGGGTGTTCCCTCCTTCGCATCCTTCAACAAAATCCCCCAAATAATGCTCCATGAGAAAGAAAAATGGAGAAAAAAGTTGAGCACTCAGCATTCCATTTCAGATATAGTCGAGCAACTTCTTGATTCTGTTAAACGATTTTACATTGGCAAGTGCCTAAGATGCCGAACGGCCCAAACCCATTACTTTTTCTGGCATGAATGAATGGGCCGATTAGTGGCCCATTACATCTAAATTTTTTCGGGTGAATCTCATGGGTGGTCACCCAACTTTATTAAAATCAACCTTTTCGTCACTCAACTTCTAAACCTAACAAAATGGTCACCTAACTTCCCAAGCTGTCCAACCGTTAGTCACCCACGGTCAATATTAACTGAAAATGTTAAATCCCAGTTAAGGTGGCTAAGTTAAATGCCACATCAGATCTGACATGGCATTACAACATGAAAATCAACTCTTGACACTGAACGCATGGTGCTGACACCATGACTTACGTGTCGACACTACACTCGTGTCGGGTTTTCAGCCTTCTTTTGCAATTTCTTCAATGCTAAAATAGCAGATCTGGTCCTCCATATTTCACACAATGAACATTTTGATTCCGTAACTTAAGATTCATTCATTTAGGTCCCACAAAGGCACCTTTCTTCCTACAATTTAGTCTCTCAACTTTCAAAAGATATTCAATTAATCCCAAAAACTCATATTCTCATGCATTTAAGTCCTTTTTTCACAAAGAATGAAAACAATGTAAAATTTATTGAAAATAAAATATTATCCATGCAAATAGTAATAAAATCAAAGCTAAAATATTATATTAAACCATATAAAAATGCTTTTTATCATTCATAAAAAATTATAAAATTTCTTGAATAAGTATTTAAATTCTAAAGTTTGTACCTCTAGGAATCCATCCAAATCCAAAAAGAGAGAGAGAAAAAAAAGAAAAGAAAAGAAAAGCTTAACGAAATTCACTTATTTGTATTTTCTTTTCTTTGGTTCTACTTGTGATATTGTTGACATTGCTTGAGATGAAGCATCAGCTGAAGGTTGGCATGAAGCATAAGAATGAAATAAATTTGAAGGAGCTTCAAATGAAGTTGCATAAGCTTGAGTTGGTGGATGATTAACAATGACAGGAGCAGCATTTGGTGACATGTACACTATTTGACTAGACCCCTAGATTAAAAAATATAAGGAGAGGGTAAAGATTATTTTCCAATTAATAAAATTAATTATGAAAAAGCTTTTGCCAACAAACCACCAAACTTACGTTGGCAAACCATCTAGTGGTCACTTGACTCTGAGAATTGTTCTGATCACTTAAGTTAGGAACCAGTGCTTCATTGATGGCAGCTGCCTTCTTAACCTTCCAAACAAAAAAACATGTTAAGTAAAAAAATTGGCATTTAAGATTTTTCAATTTCTTTTAAACAATTGAAGTAAAATAACTTACTGGTAACTTGCCCCTCTTAGGTTGCTCATATCCAACATTGAGATTCCTTTGGTCCTTGGGTTGAGGTCTACAACTCCTCTTGTTATGGCCAATGTTGCCACATAAAGTACATCTCATTTTAACCCCTTTCCTTCCCATTTTTCCAGATTGCTTTTCCATTTCATCTGCAGCTTTTCTCCTTGCTTTCTTTGGCCTTCCAGCTGCTCTTCTTATAATTGGTGGTTGTACAGGTGGCATATCACTTTTTTCCCACTGGGGAGCACCTCTAATGGGAGTTATGAAGTTGCTGTAGATGTTGATGAAGGTTTCAACTTTATAGCAGGGGTGAACATGATCGTAAACATTTTCATTATTATATAAGATGGCAGCCACTGCATGCATACAAGGGATGCCACTAAGGTCCCATTTTCTACAAGTACATGTCCTCCTTCGAAGTTCCACAATATATTGATTTCTATGACACTCAACTTGAAACTTGGATGCACCAGCTGGTTCTGGAAAACACTTGGCTGAATGTTCCTTCAACTTTTCAATTTTTTTCATTATTTTAGGGCAAAAAGGTCCAGGCCATTTCTTTGCCTCATCTATTCTCTTTGCTATTCTCTTCATCAATTTGGTTCGAATTGTTTCAATTAGAGTTAGTATAGGTTTGTCCCTTGCATCCAAAATAAAACTATTAAAGGACTCACTCAAGTTGTTGACCAACATGTCAATGTTGGTCCATGTCTGGAAATAAGCCCTTGACCAATGTTTGGGATGCCTTTCTGCTAACCAATCAGCTGCCTCTGGTGACCGACATCTCATTTCAAACATTGCTTGCTTGAACTCTTGCTCATATGTGGACCTTGCAGCTTTCCATAAAAGTTCCTTCAAAGTTGTACCCTTGTGATTTGTTTTGAAATTGTTGTAGAGATGCCTTACACAAAACCTATGTTCTGAGTTTGGAAACTTCTCTGCAAGAGCTGGTACAAGTCCCTATACATAAACAAAAACAAAATGGAACCAATTCCTATGTCATATATAAAACAAATAGAAATATAAACATTTGACACTTAATTGCTAAATTGAAAATACCTTCTGTTTGTCTGACATAAAGCCCCATCCATGTGTATTTACAATATCAAAGTCATCCATTAATTGGTCTAAAAACCAACTCCATGAATCTTTCCACTCAGATTCAACTACTGCAAATGCCAAAGGGTACATACAATCATTAGGATCAATTGCAACCGCACACAAAAGCTGTCCCCCAAACATGCCCTTTAAAAAACACCCATCAAGGCAAATGAAAGGTCTACAACCGGCTTTAAAGCCTTGCTTGATTGGTCCAAGGCAAACATACATCCTTTGAAAAAGTGATGCATCTCTATGACAAATCATGGTGCTGCCCTGATTCCAACGTTTCACTTCATCTATATAGTCATAAATGTATTCAAATTGTTGAATGAAATTTCCATTAATTATTGACTTTGCTATTTCCTTAGCTCTAGAGCATTTTTGGTGATTAACTATGGTGAAAAAGTCCTTTCTAACTTGAGCTTGTAGTGCACATGGTGCCCAGTTTGGATCAGCTTTAAAATTGTCCAAATAATGTTCTGCCAGCCATTTTGCAGAGAAGCTTTTATTCTCGGTCTTTTTCCCACAATTATGCTCATATTTCAAAGTCTTGATTTGCCAAGTTGTGTCTTGTTCTACCTTACAATCAGCGGGGGATGCCCACATTTCCCAAGGACAATTCTCTTCCTTACAAACCGCCTTAACCCTTTTCTTATCATTCTTTTCAAACTTAACTTCCACCCTATTCATCCTTGCTTCTTGTTTAATAGCTTGTTTCAATAATTCCCTATCTTTGAATAGCATTCCTACAACCAACTTTGGTTTCTCCATGTCAACACTCTCATTGAACTCTGGATACCTTCTCTTAGAAGTGCCATCATTGTCAGACTCGTACGGGCTATGTAGTTCATGTGAGTTATCACTATTAGGTCCTTCATTTTCTAGAATATTACTAGTAGGATAACCTCCAATCAAAATTGTAGCACCACCATCAAGCCCTAGATCCACCTCATCTTCAAAAAAGTCTTCATAATCCTCCAATTCATTATCACTCTCCTCAAATCTAGATTCTTCATAATCTGGATCTTCATTATCACTATTGTCACTATTTTTATTGTTAACATCATCACTAGCATTGTCAACATTGTTCTCTTCATTTCTATCCCAATCATGATTTGACTTCACCTCCACATAAACATGTACATAACGATTAGAAGGTAAGTGTGCAACCATATCCATTACTGTTTTATCATCGATCATTTTGATAAGACCATCAATAAGTTTCAAACCTGGCTTTAACCAAAAACAATCCACATCTTCAATATTATGCCCTAATATCTCAAGCATGTCCTCTAATTCAAGCCAAGAAATCTTATCAACATTTATTAAGTCAACATAACTAACTTTTCCACCCTTATACTCTGTACCTTTCTTTTCATCATGCACTATCTTTCCTCCATGATGAATTACACATGTGAAGAATTCTGATTTATCAGCTGAAATAAATAAAGATATATTACAAGGATGTTTAGTTTCCAATTGTCACCTCACCAGCCTTTAAACACACAGAGTCAAAGAGTTGGGCTTCAATAAAGAACAACCAACCAACAAGACTAAACAAAAATGAATGAACTTAATTTACAAAACAAGCCTAAAAAGAAAAAAAATGAAAAATGACATTAATTATATTCTTGAGATATCCAACGATGTATGAACCCCATATAAGCTTGAAATCAACATGAAGTAGTGACAGACTAATTAATTGCAACAGTTTGTCTTTCCAAACAAAAAAATTTATTGCCTTAAATCTTTAAGTTTCAATTGATAATAAACTATGTAAGGGAATAAATAAAGTCTACCCCTAGCTAAAAAGAAATAGTTTCTCCATTTTAATTTTTTGCCAATTCTACTTGTGAAAATAAAATTTTGATGCAAAGAAGTGATGCATGTTT